ATCAGCCTTGGCTTGACCATGGGTCAACCTCGGCTTAACTATGGGTCAACCGTGGCTTGACCATGGATCAACCTTGGTTTGAGCACGGGTCAAATTTGGGTTGACTATGGGTCAACTTTGGGTTGACTATGCGTCAACCTTGGCTTGACCGCGGAACCTATTGATTAAATCTTGATTTAACCTTGAAACCTTGGTTAAATCCTGATTAAGCCGCATTAAACTCTCATTAAACCTCGGTTAAATGCTTTTAAGGCTATAATTTCAAAGCAAATGATGCAATCGTCGCTATCTTCGAACTCGACCGAGATAACATCCAAAAGAATATTTTAAGCCATAATTGAAAAGATTTCGACAATTATTTTTTGAATGATCGTCGAAAAACTAAATTTGAAAAAAAAACTCAGATACATACATACATACATATATACGGACATGATCTAAAAACTGCATATTCGAATTCCTGACACCAAAATTACTCTTCCTGGCACAAAAAATGAAAATTTCAGATTTGACGAATACAAGGCTTCCATTTGGAAGCAAAAAATCCAACTCTCAATTCTCAAGAAAGTTGACAGTAGATTGAAAAACAATTAAGAATTAAAAATCCAACTCTTAATTTTCCAAAAAAATTGAGTCGATTGAAAGACAATAGAGAGTAAAAAATGCAAATGTCAACTATAAAAAAAGTTGAGAGTAGATTTAGAGATAGTTGGGAATCAAAATTCCAAAATCAAATTTTCAATTCTGAAAGAAGTTAATTGAAATTGAAGAAGTCACTAAAAGTAACAAATCCAATTGTCTGTTTTACCCGTCAGTAGGCGCGCTATGAGCGATTCCCTCACAAAAATTTTCACCCCATAGGAAATATACCTTAAAAACGCAAATATTTTGCTGAATTTTTTTTATACGCCTCAAGTAACTCTTCTAGTTGACTCTCGTGGTGATAAAAGTCGTCTATTTGTCAGGGTTGAGAAGAAAAAGAATATTTTCTTCGGCTCGGTCGACATTTTCCACGTGTTACGGGTACGGGGTTCGTGCCGCGGAACGCCGAACAGTGCCGCCTATGGCGATATTTGGCTCTAATATAACGAGAAGCCGATGGGCGATTCCCTCATCGCGCGTCTCAAAAACGATGGTGGAACCGCGTGCCTACTGACGGGTTAAAAAAAGTCGATAGTAAAGAGATCGGTTTGCATAAAATGTATTTTTGGCCTCATCACTCCGACTCTCAACTGACTCTCAATTTTCTCTCAAACACAAGAAATTATGGAGAGTCCAACTATCAACTCGGTCCGCCAAGGATATCCCTATAATTTTCTCGAAAAGCGGGGAGTTTTCCTATAATTTTCTCGAAAACCTAAGAATTTTCTAGAACGTTCGCGAACACCTTAGAATTTCCTCGATTTTTTTTTGAAAATTCGAGATATTGTTATAGGGGAGGGTGGGGCAATATGCACACCAGATTTAAATAATGAGTTGAATTCGATCAAATTTACTCTTCCGACTTCATTTGAAGGTCATAAAAACCAACACATTCTCATAAGACTGCATCGTAAGAAAAAACAGGGTAAAATGGACACCTCGATTTCTTCCTCAATTTTTTATGTTTCAACAATTTTATTCAATTTATGAAACGCTAGTCATGATTGCGATTTTCAAATTGAAAAGCAAAACTTATTTTGGACGTTCATCGTGGGGAGTGGTAACTAAATATTTTCCTTGCTCATTTATCCTCCTCTCTGTCTATTATTTTATGGTAATTTCCTCTGTGAGTAGAAAAGTAGCCATCTTACAAATTTCGCAAATGGACAAAAGGTCAGATGTGTAGGGCGTGCAATTGATCATTGAAAAAAAATTGATAATTTCAAAGTTATTTCAAGAGTAAAACAGGAAATTCAAAGCTACTTTATATTTCAAACTTCAATGTAAAATTTAATAGAGTCGAAGTTTGTTTGTTAATATCTTTCCCAACTCTAATTTTTCTTTATAAAAAGATACCGACACGAATCTGTTGGAAGATGTACTTTGAACATTTTCTTCATTTTTTAATAGGACTAAATTTTTCGGATTTCCATTTTACCCCTCTTGAATAATTTCTCAGTTCTGGACTTTGCCAAGAAGCAATTTTTAAAAATCAATTATTGCAAATGTTTTGAGTGTTCATTTTAGTCCCGTCCATACAGATTTATCAGGTGTCCATAATGCGCAATGAAACGATTTTCAAAAATTTGAATTTTGAAAACAAAAATTTCGCAAATTTTTGAGTGCCCATTTTACCCCAGATGTCCATATTACCCCACCCCCCTGTAATTTTTTCAAAAACCGGACAATTTTCCTAGAATTTTCTTGAAAACCTAAGAATTATCTAGAACTGTCTCGAAAACCCAAGCTTTTTCTGGAATTTTCTATAAAACTGAAGAATTTCTTCGAATTTTCTAGAGAATCGGAAAATTTTCTCGAAAACCTAAAATTTTTTTCGAAAACCGGGGAATTTTCTCGAACGTGCTCGGACACCCTAGAATTTCCTCGGATTTTGTTTGATAACTAAATATCCTTATAATTTTTTCAAAAAGTGGAGAATTTTCCGGAATTTTCTCAAAAACCGGAGAATTCTCTCGAAAATCGGAAATATTTCTCGAAAACTTCATAGGAAACATGAGAAGATCTACCGGAAAAAATAAACACGAACAGAATAAGAAACAAAAACTTTTATATGTCACCCTGGTTTCCTGCCATTCCCGCAGTTACCGCCACAGCTATGGTTGGGATAAAGCTTCTTGCTTTGACCGCAAAGGGGGGGGGGGCGTAAAATCGTCACTCGGGAAAAAAATCCCGCCATACGCTCCTTAACCCAATTTTCAACCAGTCTTGGCGCAACAAACTTGAAAAATTTAATTAAAATCGAAAAAAATTTAGAATATGCATATATTTCACACAAAAAGTTATGAAAATGGGTATTCCAATTTTTCATACGGGAAAACCATCGCTGTATTAATAAATCAACTGTATTTATAAAAAAAAATTAATTGTTTTCTGTACTAATATTTTATCTGAAAAAATAGTATATTAAAAAAATAGAGCAATGTACACGAACAGCTGCAACTCGTAAAAACTTCATTAAACATGCATTCGAGGTGTTCTCTTGGTACAAATGCATAGGGACATTTTTCGTCTTTGAAATATTCAAGTTAAAATAGAAAACAAGTAGGAAATTGCTCTTGTATTAAATATAGTCCAGCGATTTTTGCTAATAAATTAGCAATATGCTTCCGAATGGTTATTTTGCACATCTTTTCCTTCTATCATATATAATTAATTATTTATTTCATTTTAGTGAATTGAATAAGATTTCTTTTTAATTAAATAATTTTGTCAGATTTTCAACTTAGTTGAATGTTACCATCATCATTATCCCTTTCTTCTATACAACCAAATTATCTTTTTTGCAGTTCTATCTCTCCCTTCAGTCCTTCGATAAAATGTTCGTAAAAAAATGTTATTTATACATAATTGAATGAATTTGAAACATCACATTTGAAGAAACTATGGAAAAGCTCACCTTCAGGGAAATTCATGAAAAATTCGAAATTTTCAACAATCATCATAAACATCAAATCAACCAATAAAGTTATCGTAATCATCTTTTAACTTCAACCTATGGCATGAAAATAGCAGCAAAATAAACATTGTAAGCTATGATCGAATTCGTTTGAAGCATGGTATCCAAACATATCGCGAGAATTCTGTTTTTCAAAAAATATAGAATTGTTGCAAATTTTCAAATCAATCAAAATAACGATTATTGCTATCGTCTTCATCTTCGAACTTGGTCAAAAAGGATATCCAAATAAATTTTTTATGTGGCACCGTGCAATACGTCGAGTTTATCGCACGCTGCGCTTCGCGCAGTTGGCTCGGCCCGTAAACTACACATTCGTTGAAAACTAAATTTGTGCCCTTGTACTCTAATGTACTATTAAGCCATCATTCAATCAATTTAGAATGTTCTCTTTTGGTTATATTGTTAGATGATGATATTGCTATTTCTTTAAATAATCTGGAGTTGTAAATTCCAGCGGTCTGAACTCTCAGACACAATATCAAAACTAACTGCTACACGCCGAATAGGTTCTTTGTGTAGCTAGTTCAAGAGAGGAGGATGTGTGATTTTAAATATTGTGTGGAATGGATGTGAGGTTGTGACAGGTGTATTGGGAGACTTTGGAAAAAATCGGATATACACTGCACTTGATTTCACTGTTTTTCCGTTTATTTTAAATAACACACTGAATGGAATTTTGTATAAGTTTGGGAATAACGCGAGAATTTCGATTAGAAGTTTACGCCGCGATATTTGAGGTGGTACCTTGAGGGTGTTTGGATTAAGACTAAATTTTAGAGAGAAAATTTCTGAGGAGTTCTAAAATAGAAAAGAAGGGATGAAAATCGCTTGAGGAGAAATGGGTCAGAGGAAGGGGAAATGGATCGGAGGATTTGCCAAATGATTGGTCAGGAAAGATGCGAAAGTGAGTTGGAGAGGGAAAGGTTAGGCGCGCGTTGGGCCCTTTCCCTAATTACGGGAGGGCTCCGAGGACGGTACTTTATTGGTGAGATTAGCACTGGAGAATGGAGAATTTTGTAGTGCGCCAATAAAAACGATTTTGAAAGAACACTGAGTTAAAATGACGGGATTAGGACGGTCTCGACACGACAAAATAAAAGAAATGAAAATGTGCAAGGGATTATTGTAATAAAGTGATTCTACTTTAAAAGATGAATATTTCGAATTTCCAGCAGAGATATTTGAGAATTGTTCGGAATGATTTTATGCTTTTATAGTGGGTAAGAATTTTAAATGGGTAAATAGGGAAAAAACCCGGGGGAAAACCCAAGTAACGACAGGAAAAATTAAATAAAAATCTTAAATTAATTTTGATGCGATTCGTTGTTAATTTCGCGTGCTTGACACGCAACATACTCCCCTGTTGAGAGGATAACGATCAAGAATCCTCTGTAGAAGTGATGGGGTCCATTGGTAAAGGTGCTAGACGTCGGACGTTGCGATCAACAGTGTTGGTGGAGGTTCTGACCTTCACCTTGCGGATGATGCCATCTTCTCCAGGGAAGACTTCGATGATTCGCCCCATGCGCCACTTCAGAGGAGGTGGGTTGTCGTCACGTAGCAGCACCAATGAGCCGATGGTAATGTCGTGGCTGCCTGAAGTCCACTTATGGCGGACGTTGAGTTCGGAGAGATACTCCTTGTGCCATCGGGCCCAGAAGTGCTGCTTGATCTGCTCCAGGTGTTGCCACTGAGAGAGACGATTCGTTGGAGTGTGCGACCAGTTAGGAGCAGGGAGGTCCGTCGTTGATTCTCCATGAAGGAAATGGGCTGGTGTCAATGCTGAGAAGTCATTAGGATCTGATGACAATGGAGTGAGAGGTCTGGAATTAAGGATCCCCTCAATCTTGACGCATAGAGTGTTGAGTTGCTGATAGGTTAGCAACTCATTACCGATGACCCTCTTCATATGGTGTTTGCATGACTTTACAGCAGCCTCCCATAGACCGCCACAGTGTGGAGATATTGGAGGTATGAAATGCCATTCGATACCCTTTTTGATGAGATTTCGCCTGATGGAGTCCTCATGCTGCTCATCCTGGATGAAATTATAGAGCTCCTTCAGCTCCTTGTAGGCACCAGTGAATGTTGTGGCATTATCAGAGTGGAGAGCCTTACAGGAGGGATGTCTCGAGAGAAATCTGCTAAGGGTTGCCAAGAATTCCTCGGTGGTGAGGTCGCTGACGAGTTCTATGTGGACAGCCTTGGTACTGAAACAGACAAAAATGGAGACCCAAACCTTGATCTTCGCACGATTACGAAGTTTTTTCTCCTTGATAAAGAAAGGGCCGCAGTAGTCCACTCCAGTATGTTCAAATGGCCTAGACTGAGTGATGCGTTCTCGAGGTAGGCTGCCCATAGGATAGTTCACTGGTGAAGGATTGACTCTGGTACAGCTGATGCATTTGTTGATGAGGAATCTTGTCTGGTTGCGTCCATCCACGGGCCAGTAACGTTGCCTTACTGTATGGAGTGTGTTCTGAATTCCTGAGTGCAGATTGTTGAGATGGGCTTCCTGGATGATGAGGTTGGTGACATGATGTCCCTTGGGTAGCAGGATTGGATGGACTCCATCCAATGGTAGAGTCTTATGCTTCTTGAGTCGTCCACCAACATGGATCAGATGATCGTCATCAAGCTGGAGGCTGAGGTTGATGAGTCGACTTTTGGGAGGAAGAGATTTTCCTTGTTCGAGCAGCGATAATTCTGATTTGAATGTTTCTTGTTGGACCAGTTGGATTATTTGAGTTTCAGCTTTCTTCAATTCTTCGAGTGTGAGATGAGCAGATTTGACCTTGGTTCTCCATCGAAGACATAAGGCAAGAATTCTTTTGAGCCGTTCAAAAGAAGAGTAGCGTTGGAGAAGAGGGTTCCCCGGTGGAGATGAGACAATGAGCACAGTGGCCTTCTTGAGTTCAGGAAGCTCAATCAGTTTTCCGATGTTGAAGTGGGGCCAGTGCTCTTCATCTTCTTGAAGCCAGGCAGGTCCATGTTTCCAGAGGTGATTGTGGAGAAATGCTGAAGATAGTTGACCTCTGGATATAGCGTCTGCAGGATTTTCATGTGTTCGAACATGTCTCCAGTTGCTGGTGTTGGTCAACTCTTGGATTCTGGCAACTCGATTGGCCACAAATCTTTGAAGAAGATGAGAAGGAGTCTTAATCCAGTGGAGAACAACCGTAGAGTTAGACCAGAAAATAGCTCTTTCTGGTTCGATGTGTGTGGCCTTCTTCACGATGTCATACAGGTTGGAGAGTAGCTCTGCTGCACATAGTTCCAGGCGTGGAGTGGTTTGCTCACTGGTGTGGTTGATGGGAGTGATACGAGACTTGGCACAGTATAGGTTGACATGCACATCTCCATCTTGACTGATGGAACGCAAGTAGATGCAGGCCCCGTATGCACGACTGCTAGCATCACAAAAACCATGAATTTCAAATTTTTTGTTTATTGTTACCTGACGTTTGAAGTGGATTTCATTGAGCAGAGGGAGCTGTGAGGCAAACTCATCCCATTGAGTGTGGATTTCAGCAGGCACAGAATCATCCCAGTCGAGTTTGAATCGCCAAAGCTGTTGCTGGATGATTTTGGCGTGGGTGATGACAGGATTTAGCAGGCCAAGGGGATCGTAGATGCGAGCTACGTCGGAAGCAATGGTCCTCATGGTGACAGTGTCTCTGGTGGCAATTGGGTTGATTGTGTAAACAATCGTGTCCGTTTTAGAGTCCCAGCGCACACCAAGAGTTTTGAGAGCGGAATCATCTTCTCCGAGTAGCTGGATGTTGACTGTGGAATCTGGAAGGCCGTGGAGGACATCTGGAGAGTTGGAGGCACATTGTCGGAGATTGAACCCTCCTGTGCTGAGGAGATCAATTATTTCGTTGAGGAGTTGTAAGGCTTCTTCCAGTGTGCTGGTGCCGGTGAGAAGATCGTCTACGTAGAGGTCCTGCTTGAGTTTGGCTGAAGCGAGAGGAAACCTTTCCCTTTCATCATCAGCAAGTTGATGAAGACATCTGACGGCGAGGTATGGAGCTGGAGCGAGTCCAAACGTCACTGTTTGTAACTCGTACGTTTCAATTTTTCCGTTTTCGCGCCAGAGGATGCGTTGGAATTTTCTCTCTTCAGGAGTCACGAGGATTTGCCGATACATCTTCTCGATGTCACCGGTGAGAATGAAGTTGTGGAGTCTGAAGCGGAGAACGAGAGACAGGATATCATCTTGAATGGTCGGCCCGACCATGAGTGCATCGTTCAAGGAGATGCCAGTGCTGGAGCGAGCCGAGCCGTCGAAGACGACGCGTGTCTTGGTGGTGAGGCTGGTTTCCTTGAACACAGCGTGGTGTGGAAGGTAGAAGCCCTCTTCTACCTCCGTGTTGATACGTTTCATGTGACCGAGTTGCTTATATTCGTCTATAACAGCAGTGTAGTCAGCCTTCAACGTTGGGTTCCATTGGAATTTTCGTTCCAATGAGAGGAGTCTCCGTTTAGCTTGGAGATAAGAGGTGCCGAGTCGTTCTATATTTTGATTGAACGGTAAGGCGACCACGTATCGACCTTCAGGAGTACGTGATACGTGGGTTTTGAAGTGTTCCTCGCAGGCAGTTTCGATCTCAGACTGATGGCTCTTCTTGATCCCGATGTCTTCGATCTCCCAGAATTTTTTGAATTCGTTGATGATCTCGGTGAAATGACATTTTGCCATTGAAGTGTCGAGATCATCACCGATGTTGCCGCAGAGGATCCATCCAAGTTGAGTCTTCTGGAGGTAGATATCTGAAGCCTTGGGCAGTTTGATTTGTCCAATGCTGAGAGCGGCAATAGAGGTGCTGGAGCCTAGTAGCAGTTGGACTGATGCAGGCTTGTGAAATTCTGGATCTGCGAGTGGTAGATTTGGAGGTATCTCCAGGAGCTCTCTGTCTACTTGCTCGGTGGGAAGCAGACCAGAAATCCTGGGGATGATGAGGAAGCTCAATTGCCGTGTGAAGCCGTTGAGGCGAGATGCAACTGTCGCGTGAATTTTGCGGTGAACAACAGTTGACAGCTCATTGAGGGCTCCGATTGGAATTGAGCAGTTGAGTTTTTGCATACCTAATTTGTTTGCCAGCTCTTCCGTGATGAAGTTCTTCGTGGATGCGGTGTCAATGAGTGCCCGACAGTGAACTGGTCGTTTCCTCTTGTCGAAGATGTTCACTATAGCCATGGGAAGAACATCCTGTCCTGTGGATCCGAGCGGAAGAGACATGGCGAGTGGTGTTGGGGAAACTCCTGATTGTAGTCATGCTTCAGGTTTTGCTGACGGTCCACCTCTGTCGATGTGGATTTTGGAGTGATGTTTTTCCTTGCAGATCTTGCAACGGGTTTTAGAGGAACACTCGTTGTAGCCATGACCCTTTGCGAGACAATTCAGGCAACGATTTTCATTTCGAATGAATTTATCTCGTTGGGAAACGTTCATTGCCTCAAACTTGGGGCATTCATAGATCCTGTGTCCAATTTCTGCACATACTGGACACTTTCTGGTGTTGGTGGTCATGAAGGTCTGTGCTCTGGGAACGCTGGACGTACTGGAGTGATTGGTGGTCTTCTGACCTCCAGTAGATGATTTTTGAGTGGAGCCTTTGCTTGGAGCCTGTGATGGCTTCTGTTTAATTGTTTCACGTCCAGTGATTTCAGCACAGATACCACGTTTTTCAATGAATTTGAGAAGTTGATTGTAATCAGGCATGTCATTACCTTCTACTGTAGTTTCCCATTGAAAGATGACTTCGGTATCCAGTGCATTGATGATAAGAGTGGTGAATACAGCATTCAGGAGAGTTTGTGCATTACCATAGCCACTGAGACATTGTACTTGTTGACGCATGATGTTGACAATTTCGATTTCTGATTTTCTGGGCTGTTTGCAGAGGTCCAAAAGGGTTTGCCAATGACGTGGGAGAGCTTGCCTGGGTCTGTCGAATTTTTCATCTAGTAGAGTCCACGCAATTCTGTAGTTGGAGGCTTGGAGATCGAGGTTGGCGATGGTCTCAGTGGCTGGTCCAGTTAAGCAGGTCTGGAGATATTGGAGCTTGACGACATCTTCAGTTTCTGGATTGTTTCCGAGGCGTGCGTTAAATTGATCCCTAAATCCTCGATATTTTTCGTATCTGCCATCAAAATTGGGGAGTGAAATTTCTGGCAGCTTGATTGACTGTGATTTTCGAGGGGGTGCAGGACCGTGAATGGCTTGAATCGGTGGATGCTCTCGTTGAGTTGGTAATAATTTTGTATTAATTATACATTTTATGAAACCTTTCAAATAGTGGAAATTTTCCTCGATTTCATCAGCGGCTCTAGTGTTGGCCTCTTCGTTTTCCATGTCCAAGGCGCAGAGTTCCTCATTGCTGATTTCCCATTCCTTGAATTTTTCGATGAGGGTTTCAAGTTTGGCCTCGAGATGTTCGGCTCTGGCATCTGCACCCTCTTTCTCCACCCAGTTTTTGTTTTTGGTGAGGCGGGTTTTGAAGCCTGTGCGCTTGTGCTTGAGATCTTCGATGCTGGCCATTGCTGGACAAGGAGTAGCACTCTGATTGTTGCGAGATGGACGAGTTGGACTGTGTTGCAGCGGCATACACTTTGATTAACTCCCCCGGTGAGAGCGTGAGACACAACACAAAAAACACCGATTAAGTGCAAAAAATACGGATAGTTTTTGAGCTACTGGATTTTAATGAAAGTCACGAATTGTTTATGAAAAAGTATTGATAGCTTATGAATGCACTACACTGTAGGATAGGATAGTGGTTGCCAATCCGGCTCGAAGGACCAAAAAATGTTAGATGATGATATTGCTATTTCTTTAAATAATCTGGAGTTGTAAATTCCAGAGGTCTGAACTCTCAGACACAATATCAAAACTAACTGCTACACGCCGAATAGGTTCTTTGTGTAGCTAGTTCAAGAGAGGAGGATGTGTGATTTTAAATATTGTGTGGAATGGATGTGAGGTTGCGACAGGTGTATTGGGAGACTTTGGAAAAAATCGGATATACACTGCACTTGATTTCACTGTTTTTTCGTTTATTTTAAATAACACACTGAATGGAATTTTGTATAAGTTTGAGAATAACGCGAGAATTTCGATTAGAAGTTTACGCCGCGATATTTGAGGTGGTACCTTGAGGGTGTTTGGATTAAGACTAAATTTTAGAGAGAAAATTTCTGAGGAGTTCTAAAATAGAAAAGAAGGGATGAAAATCGCTTGAGGAGAAATGGGTCAGAGGAAGGGGAAATGGATCAGAGGATTTGCCAAATGATTGGTCGGGAAAGATGCAAAAGTGAGTTGGAGAGGGAAAGGTTAGGCGCGCGTTGGGCCCTTTCCTTAATTACGGGAGGGCTCCGAGGACGGTACTTTATTGGGGAGATTAGCACTGGAGAATGGAGAATTTTGTAGTGCGCCAATAAAAATGATTTTGAAAGAACACTGAGTTAAAATGACGGGATTAGGACGGTCTCGACACGACAAAATAACAGAAATGAAAATGTGCAAGGGATTATTGTAATAAAGTGATTCTACTTTAAAAGATGAATATTTCGAATTTCCAGCAGAGATATTTGAGAATTGTTCGGAATGATTTTATGCTTTTATAGTGGGTAAGAATTTTAAATGGGTAAATAGGGAAAAAACCCGGGGGAAAACCCAAGTAACGACAGGAAAAATTAAATAACAATCTTAAATTAATTTTGATGCGATTCGTTGTTAATTTCGCGTGCTTGACACGCAACATATATCATAAAAAAAAGAATGATGATTGAAAAATTAAAAAATGCAAAAATAGTACATTAGAGTACAAGGGCACAAATTTCGTTTTCGACGAATGTGAAGTTTACAGGCCGAGCCGAAGGCGGGGTCTGTATTCACATTCGTTGAAAACGAAATTTATGCCCGAGTGGTCTATACTATTTTATGCCACATCGTGCAGAAGTCGAGTTTGAAGCACGCTGCGCGAAGCGCAGCGTGCGATAAACTCGACTTATTGCACGGCGTGCCATAAATTGATGAATGAATTAAATTTCAATTAATGGCGATTAATAGGGCTCAACAATACCTACATTTGAGGAAAAAAAATTCATTCCATTGATTCATTAGCGAACAATTGCAGAAAAATTTGTTTACATACGTACGCACTAAACCTTTTCACGAAAAAGAAAAAAATTTTTTGTTGCCAATACACACGTTTATTCTCGAGTATTTAGTAGTACAAAGAGCGTGCCGAAACCGGGGGACTGTGCGGCGATCTAAGAGGTTTCTAAGAGGTTCCGCATCAACTTCGTTTTGTTACCATTACTATTTATTCTAAAGGAGTTGGCTTCTGAAAATTGCGTATTTTAGAGCTCTATAGTGACTAAAATTTTTCACCTCGTCAGCAATATTTTATTTCGATATTCACTATGATTTCAACCCACTCGAAATTCGTTGTTTTTTCAATATCAATGAAATTGGCCGGAATCAGTAGACACTACAATTATCTATGGATAATTTTATTGTTCCAAGCGATGTGTGGAATTTTGTCACATTCGAAATGCTATTCTTGAGAGTTTTTTTAATGCGTACACGGAAAAGAACCCCTACGCCATCTAGATGTGAACCTTCGATACTTCATTCATGAAAACACCCCTGCGAGGTCTCTCGGTGGATGAGTACTCCATTGGGAAGATAACAACACACGGCGGGATACTAACCAAACATGGCGGGAACTAAAGTAGTGTGATGTTATTGAGTGTAGGGAAGAAATTTCGAAACCAGTAAAGATGATAGGGAATCGAGGGGAGTCAATTTATTTAATTGGACAAACGAAGTCAGAAATTGAAGGACGTAAGCTGGCAACCACCCGCCAGGTCTTGCACGTTTTTTTCTATAAACATTTTGAAATGAAGAAGACGATAAGAGTGAGTGCATCTGAAGCAATCTCGGAAGTGATGATCAATTGGAATCGAGCAGGAATCCCAGTTAGCCGACTACAATTTTGTGTTGCGAAGGTAGAGAAGTTACATTTGAAGTGGAAAAATCTTTAGAGGAGTCAAAAAAAAACACTCCGCTACACAAAAGATGAAAGAAGCAGAGTTTTAAAGAAAGTTGGATTAATTATTTGATATTGCTCAAAAAGACATCATGGCTGACTTAACCGAGGATCAACGCCTCCTACTGAAATCCCAACGTGATTCGTCTCGTCGAGGCTTTGTTCCTGTGAATGAATCTGAATCAACTTCACATGAAAATTCATTCACAGAAATTCGCGACGAAAGTTCCGTGAACGAAGTTATTGATTCAGATGAAATAGATGCAGGAGATTTGGATCTTTTTGATAGGTGTCCAGAAATTTCACCGGAAAATGTTGATCCTGAGAACGGAGGTTCTGTAGAGGATGAACCAATACAAAGTAAGTTTCTATCATTATCTCTTAGTCTCTCTCTTTGATGTAGTGGACTCATTGTTAGCTGCATGTGCTGAGGGTTCCATATTAAATTTCATATTATTATTAATTTTTTTTTCATCTTCCAATAATATTGAAATATTTTTTACCCCAGGGCTGAGCCAGTCAATTAGCGGCCTCACGGTTTACAGTGATAGGACAGATGCCAGTGGTGGTATGGATTTGAGTGAATTCTACGATAACAATTCAATGAAGAGAGCAATTTCTAATTTCGAAGATGAGTTGGATGCATCACCATGCAAAAAGAAGGACCTCATCAATGATGAGGTAGCATCTACCGCTGATAGAATTGGAATTAGCAATCCTCAGGCTACTCTCTTCATAGGAGCTATTCTTCGAAGTGCTGGGCTCAATGTTGAAGATTATACGTACAGTGCTTCGACGTTATGGCGCAAACGAATCGAATTCCAAACGAAGTTTGCAGCACAACTGAAAGAAGAGTTGAATTCTGCGGACGTTCTAGTTCTTCACTAGGATGGTAAAATATTATCAAAAGTTAATGGAGAGGGAAAAGTTGACAGATTGCCAATAGTTGTTACCGGTATCGAAACGGAGCAACTACTAGGTACACCGGAATTGACAGCTGGAACAGGAGAGAAAACCTGTGAGGCCCTCTTTCAAACTGTGGAACTATGGAACCTCTCCACTAAAATCAAAGCTTTTTGTTTTGACACCACTGCCTCAAACACAGGTGAGAAATTTTTATTCATTGCTTTTATTGACTAAAAATGACTTCATAATTAATTGCAAGCTGAGGATAGAGTATTATCACCCGATTCCTAAACTTAACATCAATATCGCAGTTATGAGCGGGACTGATTTGAATGACTTTTTTTAATTTGCGATATGTCCACCAAGGAATAGCTCTTGAGATATCTCGCCCAAATAGCCAATTATCCAAATATTTCAACCCTTAACTAGCCGCAGATTTCATGGAAAAAAACGTTCAAAAAAACATTTAATTTCTAAAAAAAAAAAAATTATTTCTCGTTTAGGAGTAAACAATCGTCAGATAAGACAATAACTCGATCTCATTAGGCGCAAAATTTTCAAATTCTTGGGTTAACCACGGGGATTTCCAGCGAGCAGAATTCTCAATAGATTTCAATATTTTATTGGTGTAAGTTTGGATCAAAAGGAACGGTAAATGTGTTCAATATACTTGAAAGTAGAAATAAAAATTTTCATGAGTTTTGCACTCGAAAAGGTTTTGTCTGAAAAGAAAAAATCGAAAAACGGCGGGGATTCCCCTGTTATGCCACCCCTTAAGGGTTAATATACAATAAGATATTAGGAAAGTATTTAGGACACTTCAGCACATTATAATTAAGGAGTACCTTGGTCCGAGAGGATCCGCAGTACTTAATTCATTTTTTTTGGTTCAATTGTATTTGAAAGTGATTTTTCTTTGCGTAGGTCGTCACAATGACACTTGCACTCTGTTAGAAGAAAAGCTACAGCGGCCAGTCCTTCAGTTGGCGTGTCGCCATCACATTGCTGAATTGATACTCAGGGCTGTTATAGAAGTTTATTGGAAGGTGACAAGTGGTCCGAAAATACAACTCTTTGAACGTTTTAAGCAAGAATGGGAGTCGATCGATTAAACGTTGTATAAGAGCGGAATGGAGGATCTAATTGTGGTAGAAGTCGTGGGAGCAAAGAACGAAACTATTCTGACCTTCATCAGCAACCAACTGGAGGTTTGTGAATTATTTGTCTCTGAATTTCAATGGATTTTTCAATAGTATTTATTTTGTTGATATTCCGCCGGATCTATGACTTTTTTTTCTACAGGAAGCTCAACCCAGGAATGACTATCGTGAGTTGTTGGAGCTGTCATGCATTTTCTTGGGTGGAGTACCTCCACGAGGAATCAAATTCAAAAAACCTGGAGCCAATCACCACGTTAGATGGATAGCCAAGGCCATTTACTCCTTCAAAATGTTTATTTTCAAGGATCAATTTTTCACCAACGTTCAAAAGTCCCGTCAAGTTACGGAGTTACGTCAGATCTGCCTTTTTGTCATTCTACTTTATATTGAGTACTGGTTCACTACTCCAAGCGCTATCGAGGCTTCCCTGAATGATTTGAAACTGGCTCAGGATTTAATCGAATTTGCCGATATCAATGCCAAAA